TTCCTAAATTGCACAAATTAATGCTGTGATAGGGAAGAACCAGAACAGATGAAGAAGGACCCTGAAGGCAGTCAATGTGTAGGAGCAAGTCAAGGAAATCCAACCTTCAGACTTTAACATCCTAAGCGTCTTCTTCATGTGTGCTGCAAACAATGGGCCTGTCACCTCTGGATGAATGACCTGAACCATGGTGGGATGAGAAGCGCTCACACATCAAGGTAAAGAACCTTCCATTCGGATCCAACCCCTTTCCCTCCGATTCACTCACCTACTGCTAAAGCCCACCCCCCGAAACTGTGCTGTCACTGCAGCCTGTGTGGCTCCAGCCTCACAGAGGGGCATGGATTATCCAACATGGAACTGGATACCAAGAGTTTAGAGCAAACGGTGACTCTGAGAACTGAACTAGATACGGGGTACTCTCCTGCCTGTCGTCCTTATTCTGCAGCTCAGCTGCTTGTCCCGAAGCTGCACAGCTAAGGGAAGGGAGAATTTCTTTGAGAAATCAGCTTTGAGCAGGAAAAACTTAGGCTGCCACATGGAGCTAGGACTGTTGAGAATCCCCCAGTCCCGGTCCTCTAATTCCCATGGGAAACTGTCACAGCCCACCCACAGGGGCTGCTGGAGGTCTCGCATCCCCCAGCCAGAGGTCCATATTCTGTCTTTGTGAGGAGACAGCCTAGCAGGAAACCACTGTCCACTCTACTGAGGGAAGCCAGTTGGGCCAGCTGACTGTGGGAGAAGGCTCATGGGCCATGCTAGCTCATCTGGGCCACACCCTAAAAAAGATTACTTTCACAAAGGCAGCAAAGTGGGCAGGGCGGAATGTGCAAGGTTATCTTGGTGCCTGCTATGAGTGACCACCAGAAAGATTCAAGCAGATGTAGCACTGGCACTCCACTGGCCTAGGTATCTGTGATCCAACCTTATCCCATGATGCTCTTGCTGGACTCTAGGGCTCCACATGTGACTGCAATTGTAGCTACTGGGCCTGATGGCCCCACATCCAGAGTGGGTTTGATACTCAGTCCAGCTGAACTCCAAGCCCGTAAAGCCAGAAGTCAAGTTCTTCCCACAAGACTGAGGTCTCACCAGAATCGCCCCATGCCCTTACTCCCCTGCCAGGGCTTTGATCACCTGGGGGTGTCTGTGCCCACCAAGGTGTTGCTTTCATCCCAGGTGCTGACTGGAGAGCCATTGCCAGAAGCAGGTAAGTTTACTGTTGCGCAGCAGGGTCTGCCTGGCAAGCTTCCCTGGTAAGAGAGGCTTCCAGAGGCAGCTCCAATGCTACACAGGGATTGGAACTGAGCTCTGGCTCTGCCTCCTTCCCTCAAAAGGAAGACCGAGACCGCTGCTCTAAATCAGGATGCAAATCACCAGTCCCTTGAAATTCATCTCTAGGAAGTCAGAATTCAAAAGCATAACAGTTTGTTTCACCCACGAAACTGAAGAAGGACGCAGTTCAGCACTTGCTAAGGTGACTGCTGGGACTCCACGTCAACTGACAAAACTTAAACTTCAGAAACAAAGCTTGCGGCATGGTAATGTAGACCTGAGTTTGGACACAGTGACCAGGACAGCCTATGTGTGGACTATCAGGAACATTTAGAGCCACCTGAACACACTGAACTGTCTCAATTCCAGCCAGAGACCCAAAATCAACACCCAGAGTCCTCAAACCCAATCCTCTACACCTCAGCAGGAAGCCCCCTGTCAACTCTCACAGCACCCTGAGGAAACTGAACCAAAAGGGGTCTCATTTTAGCATAAATTTTCTACTGAGGAGGGTGTAGGTCAGCCTTAGGCCATAGGGATAGAAATGATCCATCCCCCAGTAGAGTAAAACTCAGCCCTCACATTGCCAAATGTCACATTTTACACCTGTGGACCTGGAGGTTGTGGTCACTGCAGAGGCAGAGAAGACAGCTCAGCCTGCTCCAAACTAGCAGCAAGGCGAGCAAGTCCCAAGGAGGGGAGACCTTCTCCAATCCAGCAGCAGGCCCCAGTTCAGCCTCAATGCTGCCCTGTGGAGTCTGAACCTTTTCCCAGGCTACTGAGGAGACTGAACCTTCAGGGAGCCAGCCTGAAGGCCAGCTCAGCCTGCAGAGCGCACAGATAGAGTCAACTCTGCAGTCCAGGAAGAGACTGGAGCTCCAGAGCCCCCTCTGCAGAACATACCTAAAACTCCACCATATCACAAGGTGACACTTGGACCTCTGGGTTAGGATCAAGCTAAGACATTCTAACTTGCTTGGTGTCACAGTTAAGCCTGCAGATGTGCAAGTTACCCTGAGTCAAGTGCTTCCAAATGGTTGACTCTTCTCTGCCTGGCAGAAGGACTCAGGCCAGCTTCTAGGCCCTTCTGTGGGGGCTGAAGTTTTTTCTGCCCACCAGCAGGAGAAGCCTGCTCAGCCTTCTGAAGCTTCTGAGGAGATAAACCTCTCTGAAGCCCCCACAGAAGCTCCAGCTCAGCCTGAAGAAGGTGCTAAGGAGGTAGAACCATCTCCACCCCATTGAAGCATCCTGTCAAGTTTGACCTTTCTCCCAGCGAGCCATAGCAGCCAGTTCCATGAAGTTACTGGGCAAGGAGAACCCTCAAGGAGTTCAGGCTGAAGTCACAGTTCAGCCTCGGGATTAAGTCAAGCCTTCCATCCAGGGGGAGGCTCACTTCAGAGTCCCCTCTGCAGGGTATGGCGACACTTCCACCTCTGGGTCACCATAATAACTCGCCCACTGTTACAGCTGAGCCTGCTGTGGATGCAGAACTTAAACTCCAGAGCCCACCAAGGGCTTAAGCTTGAATCCTCTTTGGTCCAGCAGGAGATCCCAGTACAGCATTAGGGCATACTGAATGGGTAGAGCCTTCTCCAATTCAACAGGAGCTTCCAGATCAATCTCCAGGCTCTTCTGTGGAGAGTAAACCTTTTCTCTCTGCAGGGAAGCTGCTGGCTCAACCTTCTCAAACTCCTAGAGGATGAATGCTTTGGAAGCAACCTGGAAACCCCAGCTCAGCTGTCAGAGTACGCCCAGGAGGAGAATGGCTTCCAACTGAGCAGGAGCATTACAAAGTGAGAGTTCCACTTCCACATCATCATTGAGCTAAGCATCCAAAACTTGCCCTTGATGACTCTTAACCCTCCAAATACGCAGCTGACCAGAACCCTGGAGCCCAATGCAGATGCAGGAAACTCTGATCCACTATGAGGCTACAGGTTTACCCTCAGCCCTTGGCAATCACTGAAGAGATCAAACCTTCCTCAATGAAGTGGGAGGCTGTAGCTCAGCTTCCAGAGCTGCCTACTTAAGTTGTATCCTGACCTTCAGAACATCACGAGTAACAGCTTTTCCTGTAGGTCATGATCCAGTTTGGTTACCAACACTGTATAATGTCACTTCCAGGCTTGACTAACAAGGCTGATATGGAAACTCCAATCCAGGAGGATGCCCCATCTCACTCCCACAGTGCCAACCTTGGAAAGATGAGCGAAAGGTTTCAACTCAGAAGCCAAACGCTCCTGTGATTGATAAACATTCTCCAGTTGATCAAAGATTCTGGTCCAGCCTCAAGAGCTTTTTGAGGAGCATTTTCTGTGCCAATGGAGGGTTCTACTCTGTTGTCAAAGCCCACTGCAGGCATCGAACTTTCACCAGAGCAGCTCCAGCTCAGCCTCCAGCCCCTCGAAGGAGAGCAGTAGACCTTTTCCACTGACAGCATGACATTTTCATCTCCAGGTCATCGTGGAGGGATGGAAAAGGCGGGCACTCATGAGTCTTCCAGATGGGCACACTCAGACAAAACAGTGCAAAGCCAGAGGCCAGCAGCAACCAGGGTCAGCAGAAGGCACTGGGACAGCTAAAAAGGGGTCCCCTCCAGTATGCTCAGATTTGCTCTGGATGCAATCTGGCTGCCAAACTGCAGTGCCACCTGCATGGCATGTGGAACATGAAGGGTATCGCTGGAGAGCAGACTTGTTTCTGGAGGCCTCTGGAAACAGCTGGGGAAAGATCTGTAGTTCTCTGTGTGCAGGGACCTCTTGGAGAGGCCAATAGAGATCATCTTCAAAGATCCAGCTCTTGCTTTCTGGGGATCCAGTCTGCTCTCCACCTTTGAGCACATTTTCACTCATGCAGTGGCTCCCAAGGAGACTCTGTGACACCTCAATAGCACTGTGACCTCTACTGACTGGAGCAGTTAGAGGAGGCCAGGAGACTCCCAGAAGCTGGGAAATGGAAGGTTTCATACTCAGTGACCTTGGAGGAGCTGGCTTTGAACTTCACCCAGGAGACAGGGTCTTTGCTCGATCCTTTCTTGAAGATTCTCTGCAGTGATGCAATGCAGGAGAACCTCCGAATCAAAGGGGTCCGGGAGCCTCACAGAGGAACCCTGAGCTGTGTAGCCCCTTCAGCCTCTGAGGCGACGCTGGTGACTTTTATCTTTTTTAAATTGGTAAATAATAATTGTATGCATTTGTGGAGTACACTGCATTGTTTTGCTATGGATTTACACTGGAGTGGTTGTACCAGATTAATTACTTATGTAACACATTCCATAAATATCATTTTTTGTGATAAAAACACTTAAAATCTCATCAACTTGGAAATACATGATACATAATTACTCACTATATTATTACCATGCCGTGTAATAAAACACACTCTAAAACATTCCTCTTCAGTGAGACTTTCTACACTTTAAACACCTTTGCCCCATTTCCCCCTTTCTCTCCCTTACTACCCCAATTTGCTCAATTTTATGATGGTGCATAGTTTTTGTCAGCCAAAATCCAACTTAGAAATCCCAAGGTTATAAACGAATACACACAAATAAACCACTGAGGTTATTTTGACCAAGTTGTGACCTCTTTTGACATTCACATTAATGACTTTGGTTAGGGTCAGACCTAACAAAATAATACATTTAAATAGCAACTCTGGATGTCACGCCATGACATCCAGGGAGTATCCGCCCTCAGCCTGCCCCCAGCCCTCCAGTTACTCACATGAAGTTCACACAGCCTGTGCCCGCGGGGGGAGCGATCCAGACGAAGCTGAGGTTGGTTGTGGGCAGATGACTCACGTGCGAGGCCACCACGCTGCACATGAACTGGTTACCGAATTGGTGGTCAGACATGATCCCTGAGAAGGAGACAGAAAGGGAAGTTGTTGTAAAGAAACTGAAACCCAGTGCTTTCCCATCATGGAAATAACAGTATCTTCTGGGCATTTTTCTTTTCTGTTAAGAGTCGTTATACTATTTGGCTTCTATACAAACTATGTAACTTTTGCTTTTTATGGCTAGAAGGAATAATTTAATACACTATTGAGGAATGACTTGTGGCAATCATTTTTATAATATTTTCTTGGCTTTGATTTTATTGATGGGATGTGGGGCCATCATTAAAAACCACCAAAACAAACCTGTGGTTTGAATAAGTTTGGGTTTCTTGGAACTGTCTACGAGCAGGGAGACCAAACACCCTGGGGAACCAGGGCACATCAGTAAGAGCCTGCTCATGGCGACTTGTCAAAATATTCCACGTTGTGTTAGGTTATTTCAGAGGGTGGGGAGTTGAGGTTTGCCTGGGAATTTCACAATTCTAGGACTTCACGTCCTGGACTTGGACTCTCACACCCTAGTCCTGTTGAGATTTCAGGGAAAGATGATTTTGCTTCTGGATGTGGGGCTATCACAAAATAGAGGCTCCTTTATTACTCAGTGTCTTAATAGTTTTCATCTAGAGCCCTGGGGAATGGGACCCATGGAGTGAGGATAAGGTTATTAATACAATAACATCAGTAGTCATGTAAATGTGGAAGGGCTGTTGGTCACACCTGAGCTTTGCACTGTGTTTTAACTTTCGTCTGTGTTTACATGTGACTACAGAGTACCAGCTCAGTCTGAGAATGGCCTTCTTTAATGTCCATGCTTAGTGAATTTGCTTGTGTTCAGGATAAGAACACCATGCTCTAGCTGTGAGCAGAAACACCCTCCAATTGAGCTATCATGGGATTTTTTTTTACGTTTTTTAATAAGTTAGTTCTCTTGGTTTTAACTCAGGTATGAAATATTATAGAGGAGTAACCAATAAAAATAAACAACCCACTTAGAAAATGGACAGGTCTGAACAGATATTTGAACAAGAAAATATAAAGATGGCAAATAAACATGAAAAGACATTCAAAGTCATATGTCATTAATAAATTGCAAATTAAAACAACAGTGAGGTATTACTACATATCCACTAGAATGGCTAAAATCCCAAACACTGCCAACACCTGATACTGGTGAGAACGTACAGTAACAGGTGATTGCATTCTTTACTGGTGGGGATGCAGAAGAGCATGGCCACTTTGGAAGACAGTTCAGTAGTTTGTTTTTGTGGAACTAAAAATACTCTTGACCCAGAAATCACTTTTCTTGGTAGTTATCCAAGTGAAATAAAGATTTATGATTTATGTCCACACAAAAATCTACATGCAGTTTATTTACAAATGCCAAGACTTAGAAGCAACTACGATGTCCTTGGTAGACAAGTGAATAAAACAACTGTGATACATTTAGACCATGGAATCCTATTCAGCTAAAATAAAATCAGCTATGAAGCCATGAAAAGATAGTAAGGAAATTTATATAAACTTAGTACCAAGTGAAACAGCCAGTCCAAAAGGGCTGCCTACTATTTGATTCTGACTATGTGACATTCTAGAAAAGGCCAAACCATGGAGACAGTGATGAGATGAGGAATTTCCAGGGAGTAGGCAGGAAGGGGAAGGAACAGGCAGGACAGGGAGCATCTTTAGGGAGCAAAACCCTTCTGTTTGTGACACGGGATGAATATGTGTCATTACACAAGTTTTAAACATGCACAGAATGGCGGGAGAACATGGCGGATAGATAGCAGCAGCTACAGAGGCTCTCTGAGATACCCCACTTAAAATCCAGGAATGGTGCAGTATGAGAAGTCCTAAGTAGGGCGAGATACACCCTGCCAACCCAGGAATGAACCAAGCTAAGAGAAACCAACTGGAAACCCAATCCTGGTGCTATAACAGAAACAGATAAAAATCTCAGCGCTGGAAGCTAGAACCCGCACCACTGGAAGCCGCGATTTGAATTTCCTGCTGCAGCTGCTGTGTCCAAATCTGCAGGGCAGGGAGAGAGACGTGTGAAAGCTCTGAGAGCAGGAATCTGCGAACGGAATTGAGAGCGGGACTAGCAGGGAACCCTACATTGACTTGCGGTGAGTGAGCAGAACAGGGATCCTTTCATAGAGTAGGGAGGCTCCAGCAAAGGACATACTGGGACTGGGCAGACTTGCCCAAACAGGGCGCTGCAGTGACATTAGCCGCATATTCCCCTCTCAAGTGGGATTGGTAGGCAGTGCTCGGCCTGCGTGATGTCGCTGACTAAGACCCAGTAGGCTAGCCCAAACCAGGTCCCAATGCCTGGCAGTGCACCCTAGCAGTGAAGCTTTCAGTACGTTGACCTGGAGGGGCGGGCCCAGCAGAGGCTGCCCAGGTCTGTGTCTTCCTAGTACACTGCAGTGGGCAGGAACACCTAGCCGGCACAATTCAAACAAACTGTAACTGAAAAAGAGAAAAAAATTGGGCCTCCTACATTCACTTGTAGGGAAGGAACAAAAAGTATGGGAAGAGGAAGCAACACAAAAGGGTCCTCAGTCCCCAATCCTGAGAACACTGATCCAGGAAAGGGAAACGCAAAGGAAGACAGAAAACATGCAATATCAGACACGGCACCAATAGACGTAAAGCGATACCTCCAGAGCCTCATAGACAAGTTTAAAAATGATGTATTTAATGAAATAAAGCAAGATATAAGTAGAATAGTTAGAGAAATGCTAAGCACCATCCAAGAAAAAACAGATGGTGGAATGGAAGAACAGAAAAAAAGGGGAGAATTGTTTGATGGAGAAAATAGAGAAAACATAGAATACATGAAGTAGGTTCAAAGAGATTACCAGGAAACTAAAAACTCTATCGAAAGCTGGCATAACAGCTTGAAAGACATTAAAGATAGATTATCTGAATTGGAGGGCAGATTTGTAATATGGGAGCATGAAATGAAAAACCTCTTAAAAATAACAAGAAAACAAACAGCAATAATACAAAGACTAGAAGATGACAAGAGGATCTATAACTTAAGAATTAAGAACATAAAAGAAGAAGTAGGGACACAAACAAATAGACTACAAAAGCTATTCACAGAAATAATCCAAGAGAATTTCCCTAACTTAGCAAAAGGTAAAGATACTCAGATGTATGAGGCATACAGGACCCCAGCCACCTACAACCCAAACAGAGCTATACCCAGGCATATAATAATCAAAATTCTAGAAATCCAATATAAGAACAGAATACTAAAAGCTGTCAGAGACAAGAAACAGATCACTTACAAGGGAACACCCATCAGAATTACAGCAGACTTCTCGGCACAAACCATCAAATCACGAAGAGTGTGGGGGGAAATAGTTCAAGCTTTGAAAGATAACAATCTCCAGCCAAGACTGATATATCCTGCACAACTGTCCCTAGAAATTGATGGAAAAACAAGGTGCTTCCAGGATAAAGAGGAACTAGGGGAATTTACAACCAGCAATTCAACTCTACAGAGAATACTGCAGGATATTCTAAAAAAGGAAAATACCAAGACTTCAGAAACAGTGGCAGAGCGGCCACAATGAATGGAGGAGAAAGCGAAATGAAGTAGACAAACTGACAACAAACGACAGAAAAAGAGCTCAACAGAATTGAGGCAGAGAAGATTGGATGGTAGGAACAGCTATTTTGGAGAAAACAAGACATCATAATAGCTAGTGCTGATTTAGTATCATCTTGCTTTGAAGTCCCATCAAGCTTTTATTCTTCTGTCTCCATCGGTCTTAACAGGTTGTTTCTTATTGGATTTTATTATATGTGATAATATAAGCAAAAACTTTTATAGACAAGGAGATTATACAGGAACCATTGTTCATTTTCTATTAGTTGGTTGTAAATACCCTGTAATACTGTCATTCTCTTGAATGGTTTTACATTGTCTTGATATGTTTGGTGCTACAGTATACGAAGTTATACTCAAAGATTTCAAGGAAAGAGACACTATGGTAACTTCTTTATGTTAGGATATCTTGTGGTGAAACACTATTTTGCTTAAATGGTTATGCTTTGACCTGTATTGTTTTGTTGTTATGCCCTCTTTTATCTCAATCTCTTTTTTTAAATTATTTACTTTTTTATTTTTATCTTTTTAATTAAGGGAAAAATAAAAAATAGCAGGATACATTATAGTAACCCACTTTGATTTCCTATTAACTTGATTTGAAACCCTGTATAGCCCTCACCATCTTCCTTTGACTGATTTTCCTCTATTCTGCTTTGCTTGATAGTACCAAGTTCGAAAGTATAGGCAAAACTGTGAAGACAATAACATTCATTATGACGCCCATTCCGGTTGACTATTATCTTCTTTTAAAGCCCTGTAATGTCTCCAATGTTTTGGTTTTATTCTTTATTGTTTTGTTCAATTTTATTATAACTGATGATATAGGCAATTCTTTTTAAGATAGCAACAGGCAGTATGGTAACCATTGTTGATCACCTAGTATTTTGTTTTTACATTATCTATTATGTCCATCCTTTTGATTTGACTGACTCTGTTCTGCTATGTCACATTTGGTTTTACTCTCTTCAAAAAAAAGTAATAAGAACTGTGGGAGTAATAAAACCCAAAATGTGTAATTGTCATTGTACAAAAGAAAGGGAAAGAAAGTGCTCTAAAGTTTATAACTGCATATATATTTAAGTGTATAAGATAGATAACCATATTACTGAGTTTTGTTGGATCATTGAACAAAACTGTTTGCAGTCTCATTGTTTGAAAGCCCACTTTATATGCTTTAATTTTGTAACTTAAACAGCTATCTCTAAGATAATAATATGTAATCTATTAACTAGTGATTTCCTACTGTTTATGTTTTCTGAAATTCTGTATAACTTGTACCCTTTTTCTATTTTTTTTTTTCTTTTTCTCCTTAAATTAAAAAAAAATGCACAGAATGTAAAAACCTAAGCGTAAATCCTCATGGACTCTGGGTGGCAACACCGGATCAGCACAGGTC